CATTCCCACCGATCACATCACCCATGACATGTACAAAGATAAAATTAACCGAAATAACACACTCGCACATGCGCACTCTTAGGGTACACCTCACTTGGTTGCCTTCGAACGTGGTCATTGAGTATAGGAAGTTTTAGAGGTCTCCCTTTTGTCCAAAGATCATAGTTGCCTCGAAACGGTTGCCTCGGATAAAATGATCTAAGACATTAGGGTTACTGCTAAGGCGGCCTAACATTGCTTTAGTGACCACACGTCCCTTAATCGAATTGACCCGAAAACTCCAACGATGATGCTACCTACTCCTCAATAGTGGGATAGCGTTGTCTAAAGGACATTTGCACATTTTAATTCCTTTTTCGAGTAGGTAGATGGTTCTTAAGTACTTGCTCCTTTTAAAACAAAACAAAACCTTTCGCACTTACACTCCTTTCAAACAAAAACTCTTTTCAAACCCACAAACACAAAGAAAAGCAAACTTTTGAAAACACAATGAGCAAGTACCTAAGAGCCAATGGATAACCACGGATAGAAAGGGTGCTAACACCTTCTCTTTCTATAATCTACCTCCCGAACCCGAGAAATATCTCAAAAAGGAATTTTTCTGTGCTTTTGTCCTTTCCTTGTTGGATAAAATAAAAGACGGTGGCGACTCTTGCTTACCGCGAAATTTTGTGAACATAAACGCAAAACGCGAACCAGCATTCCAAAACAGTCAGTTCTCATTTCCACCGATCACAGTAGGGCTTATGGGAAGGAACCTGGATAGTAGGGTTACTTCGGGTTGAAATCCTGGATAGTAGGGCTTATGGAAAGGAACCTGGATAGTAGGGTTACTTCAGGTTGAAATCCTGAATAGTAGGGCTTATGGGAAGGAACCTGGATAGCAGGGTTACTTCGAAATGAAAGCTTGGATAGTAGGGCTTATGGGAAGGAACCTGGATAGTAGGGTTACTTCGAAATGAAAGCCTGGATAGTAGGGCTTATGGGAAGGAACCTGGATAGTAGCACTTATGGGAAGGAACCTGGATAGTAGGGTTATAAATATCTTATAATATCTCTTAGACTATTATAAATATATATCTTATAATATCTCTTAGACTATTATAAATATATATCTTATAATATCTTTTTATATTAATTTATATGATTTTCAAATTAATATAAAATATTCTAAATATTAATGAATGAATCAATGAACCGCATAAATCGAACATTCTTGTTGTTTTTCGGCTTCTTGATTTGTTGGCAATCTCGAAACATGTTTTCTTTCTCTTCATCAACAAAGATTTTTAAGGCATATTCCAACAATCTCCACATTTACTTTAAATCGTGTTGATACTAATTTAATCATCAACATTGCTGCTCTCTACTAAGTTGAAACTCTAATCAGTGACCTTGATCAAATTCAAGCAACCCTTTAATCTTGATCTTGCCACTTGCATCCCCTTGTTTCCAATTACCCACTACGCCAAAAATAAGTTTTAGCAGCACATAAAAGAAAGCGCTTTTGGAAAAAAGCGCTGCTGTAGGTTTTAAAAAAAATTCGCTTAAAAAAGCACTTTCAAAGGGTGCCTTAAGAAAGCGCTTTTCAAAAGCGCTTCTAAAGGTCACCCTTAGAAAGCGCTTTTTGAGAAGCGCTGCTAAAGCTGGCCTTTCAGAGGGTACCTTAAGAAAGCGCTTTTCAAAAGCGCTGCTAAAGGTCAGCCTTAGAAAGCGCTTTTCCAAAGCGCTGCTAAAGCTGGCCTTTAGAAAGCGCTGCTATAGGATATGCTACGAAAGCGCTTTTTGATGTAAAAGCGTTGTTATAGATGACCTTTAGAAAGCGCTTTTAAAAGCGCTTTCGTAGGTAGTTATTGTGGCCCATTAGTTAAGCCCATATCCGAATTATTATTATAAGTTATTCAACAGAAACCCTTGTTGGAAACCATTTGCAGTATAGTCGCTCATCTTCGTTTCTCACAACATCCCGTGAAGCCGCTCCAAAATGGTTCGTTCGTTTTCACAGCTTGTTGAATTTTAAACTGTTATTCTAATTTCATTCTTATGTGATTATTGTTTGTGATTTTGGTTACAGACTAACAGAACCAAGAAGGCCGGTATTGTTGGCAAATACGGTACGTTCTATCAATTTTCTTACTTTTCAACATTTTGTCTTGTTTGTTGTACTTTTCGGTTTCAGATTTATTTGTTTTGTAGATATTTATTTCATTTCAATTCACTATAAATGTGTTTGTTCTAACCCTAAAAACTTTGTGGGTTTTTTAATTTCAATTAGGTTTAGCTTAGATTTATTTGCTTCTAATTTAAATGAAATTCTCAGCTAAGATGAGTTTATGGTTTTTGTGTCGTAAATGGTGATAACGGATAGGTTTGTATTCTAATTTCAAGCACCCGATATGGTGCTAGTTTGAGGAAGCAAATTAAGAAGATGGAAGTCAGTCAGCACAGTAAATTCTTCTGCGAGTTTTGTGGAAAGGTGGTTTTTTTAAGGTGTTTTGTGACGAGTTTTTTCGATTTGCATTGGTTGATTATGTTCTCAATTTGTTGTATGTAGTATGCTGTTAAGAGAAAGGTTGTTGGTATTTGGGGCTGCAAAGATTGTGGGAAGGTCAAGGCTGGTGGTGCTTACACTTTGAAGTAAGAATCTTGCTCAAAAAACATGTTTTCTCAATTGATTAATTGCTTGTATATAGTTGTTAACCTTGTGATTTTCTTTGTGCTTATTATTTTGACAGTACTGTCAGTGCTGTGATTGTTCGGAGTACCATCTGAAGGTTGAGGGAGCAGACTGAGAGTTAGAAAGGAAGCAGTATTACAATTTTGTTATTTTTTGTTTTCAAAGTTATTGTAGAAACTCTTGTACGTCCTTAATTATTGTTATATTTGATTTGGATATTTGAGGAAGGTTTTGTAAGTGTATCAGTTATCTTTAATACATAATTGACCTTGTTTCTTTCATACATTAAGACTGGTTTAGTTGTTGTTAGGGTTGATTTTGTAAGACTGATTTTGAGTTACAATGCTGATAACAATGGTTTTTATATATTTTGAGGTACAAAAATGGTGTATATATATTTTGGATTACAATGGTATACAATGCATTACCGCGGTTTATGAATTACAGGTTATGGCAACTGGTTTATATAAATAATATGCTGCAAATAATACAGGTATATGAATTATATAAATTATACCTCTAAAAAAAACACCCTATGAAAGCGCTTTTTTACAAAAAGCGCTGTCTAAGGTAAACATATGACAACGCTTTTCCAGGCAAAAGCGCTGCTAAAAGACTACCTATGAAAGCGCTTTTCCAGAAAAAAGCGTTGCTAAAAGCCTACCTAAGACAACGCTTTTCCAGAAAAAAGCGCTGCTAAAAGAAAACTTATGAGAGTGCTTTTCCAGAAAAAAGCGCTGCCTTAGGTATACCTATGAAAGCGCTTCTTCATAAAAAAGCGCTGCCAAAGAATACATATGGCAGCGCTTTTTCGTAAAAAAAAAAAGCGTTGTCTAGACCTACGGCAGCGCCACCATAGGCAGCGCTTTTAAGCGCTGCTAAAGGGCAAAAAAAGCGCTTTCTTAGGTTTTTTTTGGCGTAGTGACCCTTTTCTTCCTAGGTGATATAACAAGCCTACAAGTATAATTTTTCAACCACCCTTGACTCCACCTGTTTTCAAATGCCTCCCTGAAGGTTCTTCTTCTTTTATTTTGTAGTCCTTCAGCCACATTAAAAACATAATATTCAAGGCTAGTATAATCGTCCCTTTGAGATGCTACAATAACCATCCTTACCTTATCATGAGTCAAATGATAATCAGAGATCTATGTAACCATTCTGTCACTACTGCTAGCATCCATAGTCGGAAACTCATTCACAAACTGAGTTTTCTCCATTATAGTTTTTACTAGGTTTCTCCTTTGGTTTTCACTATTCTCCCTCGGAAGAAATTCTCTACCAACCAAATAAGTTGTTTTAACCTCAACTCTTCCCTAAAAACTCAACAACAAATCAGCGGTAACATGTATTTTTATCCCTTGATTTCTGTAAAATTCATTATACTCCTCTGAAACTTTCTCAAGGCATTCATAACGCCTTAAACTCAAATGTCATAGTTCTTCCTTGTCATGAAAGGCTGCACCAATTAATGTTGAATGAACAACATTTGAACCTTCTAAAATATATAGACCATATATTTTAAGGTGAGTGACAAGCTACTAGGAATTACAAATTTTTAATTTTACGAAAAAGATGCTTTAACTCATTTTTGCGCATAAACCATAGATTGATTCAATAAACCATAGATGGATTCAACAGAGAATTAACTTTTCCTTACTATTACTCAAACCAAGGTATAAAACTCTAAAATAGGTCCAATGCAAATAAAGGCGATGTGTTTTCATCAAAACATGTTTGTGAACTAAAGATAATTTTGCCAAAACTATTGCACCATTCTAAGATGATTTTTCCTTGAGAAGTCCATTTCAGGATGCTACAATAGATAAAATATAAACCTTAGCAGCCAAATTACCAAATCGACAAAGACAATCTTGAGAATGCAGAGAAAATCTTGACAAAAATCAAAGGTTCGCCTGATTCATAAATTTCTTCATCACTTGTAGGAAGACCCGTGGATTTCAGCCTCTAATCAAATTGTTGAACAATACAAAATAATATTAAACCATTAGCAAAGAAATCAAGTGTAACAGGATTACATGGAATAAAATCGATGACAGAAAGAAACTCAAACAATTACCATCATTTACCTAGAAGGCTTTTAAGTTAATACAAAACACACAAGAATATGTGGTGCAACTAAAAACATTTACAATAAAGAAGTTACAAAACAAAATGCTGAAATAACAGTAAACCAAGCTTGCTAAAATCTAATCTTAGATCTCACATAATTTAAAAAAATCAATCCTAAAAATCTAAATAACATAACAAGCTAGCCAAAAATGGCTACATACAAAATATACAACATTTGTTACGGCATTGCAGATCACTCCTTAGCTTCTACATCGATACCATCTTCACATGCGATCTCATCATCTATCCAAGTAAAATAATGTGTAAGTAATCATACTCATCACATCACAAATAAAATGTTCAAAAAAAAAGAAGAATTTCATGTTGGGTACCTTGGGAATATGATGATACGATGGTCCCATCACAATGTGGGGCTTGCTGTTGACAAAATATTATTATCATTAATATACAAATTAAATATGTTTTTAAACACATGAAAAAAGTCATATAAATATAACAGTTTTACTTTTTAACTGTCAAAAAAATTGAAGTGCAAGCAAATGTACTTTTTTTTTTTTTAAATATTTATCTCAGAAAATTTTATTTGTATTGAAATTAGTTTCTATCATTTATGATTATTTGATTTTAACCTTTTAAAATAAATACTAAGATGAATATTACAAAACTAAATTCTAATATTAAATAAGTAAAAAAAATTGATAATTAATTAATCATGACATTGTGTACCTTTTCTATGAACAATTGTTCAATAGTTGTGTTAAGATCACCTTTCCATCGTAAATTTTCCTCTTCAGCTTCAATTTCTGTCAAGCATGGTGCGTCTGTGACTCCTAGTGAAAAATTCTTCATTTGAGGACATCCTTTAACAACAAAACGCACCAAAGATGGGAATATGAATGTTTGTTTCCCACTTGAGAAGCTTCTTAAACTTAACAAAGTAATGAACTTCAAGATTTTCAAATTTTCAAATATGATGTCTTCCTCTACTTTTTCATCATCAATCTTCACAACATCCAACATCTTCTCACACTTCTTTATTTTTAATTCTCTGAGCTGAACTAAGCTTTTAGCTGTTGAAGATGTTATCAAGTAAAACAACTCTTTGCAATCATTCACCTCCAAAGTCGTCATATTTGTGAAAGATGTGGACGATGGTATCAAGCATATCAAACTTGGACAACTACTTACGTATAAATCTTCAAGATTCAATGGAAAATCTTCGTGGCAAATATACTTCATCTTTTCCAATTCATAAAGCCACAACTCTTTTATTTGCTTAGAAAGTTCATCATTGAGATTTCCAGGAGTTCCTTTTGAAGGGAATAATGTTTCAAAACAACTATTACTCAATTGAAGAGTTGTTAGATTAGGTAATATTGCATGGAAATCATTCAAAAAAACAGTTGGAGTTTCATCAAAGCGTTGCAAATGAAGAAGTTGTATTTTAGGAAAGATATTTTCTTGACAGTAATCATTCAACATTCTAAAGGCATCCTTTGCATTTATCGTCAATTCCTCCAGGTTGGTGCTTAGCTAAAAAATCAAACCTCCGAAGATTAAATACGTACAACTATTAGTTTATTACAAAGATAGATAAGGGATGATGGAATTTACCTTTTCAATAGAAAAAAGGGCTTGTTGGGAACTTTCATCCACCAAATACTCAGGTTTTTGCAAGTCTAAATTGTTGAAGGAAAACATTCTCAATGTTTCACAACGACATACATTCAAAATCTTCAATGAAGGGCATTTTAAACTAATTTTCATTGATCCGTCTCTCATTGCAACAATATCCTCGACTCCGCAAGAATCTATCTCAAGCATTTCAAGATTTTCAAGATCTTGGCACATGGACAATGAAAAGATGTATAACAAGCCTTGGCACGAAGAAACATCCACCGAGCATAGGTTTCCAAAGTTCATAATTTCATGAGGATCCTCGTTCCATATGTGCTCCAAGTTTGATAAACAAGACAAAGTCAACGTCTTCAATTGACTGCTTTGTTTTATCAATATTGATTCATTAGACTTCATACCTTTAACATCAAATATGGCTTCTAATGAATCACAGTTGTTCACTTCTAGTTCTTCCAATTTATGTAGCACTTGAACAACATTTGATGGAAAAAGTACATGTGATAGGAAATCACATCTTTGCACCACTAGATGTTTCAGATTGCAAAATACATTCTGATGATCCACTTGGCCGAACCATAAATGCTTTAGAAAATGCAACCTGATCAATAAAATTCAAATATCAACTATATATCAATAGAAAAATCAAAACTAATATGTTTTGGAAAATTATGAATGTTTGTTGCTATCAATAGGAAAAAGGTTACTCAAACAATACCTTTTCTTCAAACATTTTTTTTATTGTATCATTTAGGTTTCCCTTCCAATGCCATTCCTCTTCATTTTCTGCAATTTTAACTTTTCGAAGATTTGGTGTACTTGGGTTTCTTTCTGAAAATATCTTCATGTAAGGACATTCTCTCACAATTACTTTCTCCAACAATGGAAACTTCAAGAAGAACTTGCTAGAGCAAAATTTGTTGAGGCTTGGCAAACATTCCAACATCAAAACTTCTAAACTAACAAATGCAATGTCAACACTTTCTACTCCGATAATTATTTCTTCAAGTGATTTACAATCTCTTACCTTAAGTGTTGTGAGTTTGACCAAACTCTGTGCCGTTGGAGTTGTAATTAAACTTTTTAGACCATTGCAACTTATTATCTCTAGATAATTCAAATGATTAAGGGTGACAGAGGAAGGCAACAAATTTGTCAAACTAGAACAGCTAGCAACCCATAAGTGTTCAAGGAACTCAAGAACTGGGTCAATTCGAGATCCTTCCTCACATATTTGTTGAAGTTTATGTAATTCACTCAATACCAGATTTTTTATCCGTGTATGAGTCTTCTCACTTGTTTGTTTTTCGTTTTGAAAAATCTTCTTGAAGCGACTCCACTCAACAACTAACACCTCAAGAGTATGCACATTATTAAGAAACCAATAAGGAAATGTAGAGTCTTCATTGTTATAAAATCCTAAACCAAGAAAGGTCAGTTTGGTAAAGAGGGCACTTGAGTTTTGGGCTTGCAATATCATGTCAGCATCCTTTTGTTCTATCCTCAACCTCTCCAAGTTTGGAATAACCTAAAGCATATGTAAACAACGGAACATTTTATTCATACATATATAATAAATATTTGATATTTTAAAATAATAAAACAAAGTCCTTATTATAAAAAATAAAATAAATAGTGTCTTGTTTCAGTCTTACATTGTTATATATGTAAATTTACATGATATACATACCTCTTCGGCGATGAAAGGTGGTCGTTGAGTTACGACTGAGAGTTTGTCATGTTGAAAACTACTTTTAGAGCTGCCTGTGGAAAGAGTTCTATACAAGTTCAATTTTGAACATTTGAAAACATTAATTTTCCTCAAAGATGGACATGATAGAGTATGTTCTCCAACATAGAAACACTCGAGTTTGTTCGAGTTCCAAAGCACTAGAGTACTCAGTTGATTAAACATAAATATGGGAGATGCACACACCCTAGATTCTTTCTCCTCTGCAACAATTCTATTCAAGCTTGCACAATCTTTTATCACAAGTTCTTTGAGAAGTGAACAACTTTTATCACAAGTTCTTTGAGAAGTGAACAACTAGTAGTGGCTACAGAAAATGGTAATAGATACTCCAAACTTTCACAACCACTTAGTTGCACATCTGTTAGATTTTGAAAGCTAAGAATTTCTTTAGGATCCCGACTCCATATCTTTTTCAACTTCGGCAATCCAATTATTGTAACTTCTTTCAAATGTGTTGTATCCTCTATACAGCTGAAAGTCAATTCAAATATTTCTTCCACCAAAGCACAATTTGTAACCTCCAACATCTCTAATTTGTTATAAGTTTTTTGCATTGAAGAAGGAAAAATTACCACAATTCTTTTACAATTGCTCACATGCAACAACTTCAATGACCCAAATTGGTGGTGCCATATTGTCTTCAAGTTGTCCATATCCTTCAATATTATTTTCTCTAATTTCAAGAAAGGAACCTATATGTATTCATAAATAACCAGTATAAATTTAACTAAATAATTTTTTAATGCAAGTTTAAAATAAATTGGAATATTCCTAATGGTAGAATTACCATACCTCATTCAATGGATTGTTTCCCTCTTCTTTAGATATTATTTCTTCCATCAAAGGACAATTACTTATTTTAAGGTGTTTGAGGTTCTTAAAACTTCCGACCACCGTAGAAGAGAATAAGTACTTCAACCCGCCACAACTCTCCACAATCAAACTAGTCAAGTTGTACATGGAATAATCATCCCAAATTTTACTCAAATTGAGTGAGCTCAATTTAAGAGTATCCAAATTAGGAAATGCAACCTACATAATAATAAATTAACATAATTAATAATTGAAGGCTTATATTTGATAACATAATTAATAATGCAATTTTTTAAATCAACATTAAGAAAAAGGTTTTTAAAATAAAAGAAATGGCAAAACAAAACAATGTGAGAGACATATTAGAATGACAAAATAACAGACAATTTACAAACCCATTTATAGTCCAAATATTAAAATGCATAATATATCAGAGAACATTGTTAAACAAAATAATTTCATTTTATTGATAAATATAATATCTCTTAAATTTAATCAGTTCATCTAAATATAAAATCAATAATATCATTATATTAATCATATAAAAATCGTCAACCAGATATTACATATATTTTTAAGGCATAATCTTAAAATATATTATGACATTTAAAAAAAAAATTAAATACTAAAAGAATAATATATTTAATACATTACTAAAACTTTTTGACATTATAAAAAAATTAATAATTGAATAGTATCCATATATTAAAAACAAGTTTGTCATGTATAGAAGGTTTAAAAACAAAATAACATACCTGGACATTGAAAAATGGTGTAGAAGAAACGTAAGGTTCCAAACCTTGATACTTTTGCTTACTTCTAGAGTGTGTCAAATAATTAGAGAAGAAATTATCGAGTGTCTCCAAATGTTCTAGAGTCAGAGAACGCAATTGAAGGAACTCAATTTTTTCATTATTTGCACTTGAACTGTTGTCTTCGAGTACTATATCTTTCATAGAATTGCACTGACAAACTTCAATCTTAGAAAGGTGGGAAAGTCGTTTAACCATTGTAAAGGAGAAAAGATATTTTAATTGGAAGCAACTTTTGACTTTGATAACACTAAGACTTTCAAAAGAAGTAGCTGAAAGTGGACCATGAGATATATTTTCTAAGTTTTTAAGATTATCAAGTAGCAGAGTTTCCAAGATGGGAAAGGACACATGGATTTGATTCCTCTCCTTAGAGTCAACAATGTGCTTCACATTTGCATTATTTTGGATGTGGAGATGTTTCAGCAATGGAAATCCTTCCCCATTTAGGTCATAAAGCACATTTTGAATTCCATCTACGTCATCCAAGTACAAATTCTCAACACCTTTAATCAATGCTTTAATTCCGTGCTCCAAATGTATGTTGGTACCACCAAGTTTGAGCATCAATGTCTTTAAGGTTCCATACTTAATGTCAGACCATTCCCATACATCTCCAATAGCTATTCTGTATCTTTTCAGCTTCTCAAAAATCAGTTGCAAGTCCCTTGGCAACATCCAAGTCTCGCGAATTTGTAATTCTAGAGCTGTCAAGTTGGGTAGTTTCCGAAGCTCGGCAATGCTAGCATTTTCATTTTCAACTGTAGAATTCACATCTGCCCAATTAATAGACGTATTGCCCATGTACAACTCCTCCAACTTAGTCAAGCTTGATAAGATATTGGGTGGGACTACTTCTATTCCTGAATGGCTCAAATTAAGCATTCTCAATTTAGTCAATCTCCCTATTTCTCTTGGCAACTTGATCATTGAAGATTTCCAGAAACTAAGAATTTCTAAATTTTGCAAAGCTTCTATTGCATTCATATTTTCTAAAACGCAGAAATCTAAAAACAACGATTTAAGGTTGGTTAGGATCCTAAACGAAGTAGGCAATGAATGCAAGGTCAGATATGTTAAATCTAGCACTGTAAGGTTTTTCATACCCTCAAAAAACGCATCAGGGATTTCTAAGGATCGATCTTTGCTTTTCAAATAAAACAATTTATTGCTTGGACAATCAATCATTTGAGGAAGCTCGTGCATATGATGATAACTATCTAGAATGATCTGGGTGCACCTGTTTAAAAGACCAATTGTTGGCCATTCATCAGCAAAGTTAATTAGAAGTACATGTTTGTCCCTGCTTGCTATGGAGGTAGCAAAATCACGAACGAAGTCATGCATTGCGATATTTCTACTTGTTTTACTTTCATGCAGAAAACATGTCTCCTCCAAAGATTTGATTATTGCGTAATGTCTATTTCTTGCATCATCCATGGTATTAACATGCTTTAATATGTCCAAACCCATTGCAACTTCCAGATAGTACTCTCTAGAGTTACCTAGAAGTAATGCAAAAAGCAAGAATAGATCCCTAACTTCATCACTTTCCAATGCGTCGTAACTCAATTCCAAAGCAGAATAAGTTAATGTGTCCATCCCTGCATGATCATTACATTGTAATTTCCTTAATGCATCGTTCCAAGAATGGACATCCCTCTTATTTCTCATTGCACGTGCTACCATAACGACACGAAGAGGCAAACCCGCACATTTTTGGGCAACTTGAATTGCTACATCTTTCAAATCCCTATTGTTAACCACATCACCAGCCATAAATTGAAACAAGCTCCATGCCTCTTTTTCACTCATAAGTTCAAGTCTGAAAGTGAAATCCTTTGGAACATCCATTTGTACCAGCACATTTTGACTTCTACTTGTCATAAACAATTTGCAACCATTATGCTCATCACCAAATGGAATTCCCACATTCTTCAAATCAATTACGGTCCATATATCATCTAGAACGATAAGGATACTTTTCTCTTTCTTGATTCTCTGTCTTAGTCGATCAGCTCTGCCTTGAATAGTCTCATCAGGGAATCGCAGACCCAACATATCTGCAATCTCCCCTTGAATTGTTTTCAAGTCTGGATTTTGGGATACACGCGTTGTAACCACTTCAGCGAACAATTTGTGTTGCTTGGCTATTTGAGAAACTTCCTTCACCAGAGTGGTCTTACCCACCCCACCCAACCCATACACCCCAATGTTGCGTGAATTAGGATCTTTTAAAGCTTCCATAATCTCCTGCTTAAGTGTCTCTCTTGTCTCATATTTTTCATCACCTCTTGTTGAGGAAGAAGAGGCTACTCCATCTAGAGCAGGAAGGAAACCAAGTGGACCAGAAAACCTTTTTTCTTTAAATTGAACAACATCTTTTGCAAGTTTTGTGGATTTCCTGCTTAGTTGATGACGCGAAATCAAATTGGGAAATGGCCATGCTGAGCACCTAAGATTGGCATGGCGGGGATCATTTTGAAGCTGAGTCGCTTTTTCAATGACCTCATCCACATTCGTAATCCATGTCTCCACACCTGGAAAAATTGTTTTACCATTTCTCCTTTCTTCTTCAACCAAAATCATCATTCTTTGTCTTTCATCATCAAGATCTTTAACATCATCAGCTAACGTTTTGAAATTGGCTTTGTAGCGTATCAAGTAACTTGCTTGACGTCCAATAGGAGCAACAGTATACTCTGAGACCTTTCCAACAACAGAAATTAGAATATCCATTGATTCTCTTGAGTTGATCTGAAAAAGTTTTGTATGATATTAACATATTACTCCTTAATTGGAGAAAAACTGCAAATAATCTTTTAATGAAAAAATAGAGACCTATTTGAGCAAATTAAATCTATTGAAGACTAGAGCTAGAATTTTATAATTTACCTATTTTAGAAGACAATTACTAGTATATTTTATAAAATAGTTTTAAAAATAACGAAATATATGTGTACCTCTAAGTAAGCACTTGTTAAAGCTTTGAAATGAAGAGATCAAGTAGAAATTAAGCTGGGTTGAATACTCAAATCTTAAACACCATGAAGTGATCGAGGGTAGGTTTAAAATAGACTACTAGTATATAGAGTCATGTGAAAACTTGTCTGAAAATGTGCATCATGTGACTACGACTGACGCTGCTCCCAATGTATAACTTAATCTATTAGTTTTCTCTTGGGGGTAAGTAACTACTTGAATTATTATATTTATGATGCATAAGCAAACAGTTAGTTTATAAAAATACCATATAATTGGTTATCAATTGCATGTTGTTTAATAATAGAATGTAAGATAAACGGTGTGAATCATGTGTCATGAATTCTGGCTTAATGCCTTTCTCATTGCATTTGATACTATATATAATAGTCTCGGTAATTACAATTCATAATGACTAATTACAACTCATAATAACTAATTACAACTTATAATGGCAATTTTCTATTCTATGAATGTAAATTATTTACAATAAATGTGTTTGATTATTTCCTGATTAACATCCCCCTCAAATTGATGCGGCTGGTCAATGAGCATCAATTTGCTAACAAGAAACTGATGTCGTGGACGTGGAACTCCACAGCCTTGGTAAGAATATCTGCAACCTGCAACTGAGTACTGATGTGAGGAAGTGATATTATTCGATTATTGTAGGCGTCACGTATTGAATGACAATCAACTTCGATATGTTTGGTGCGCTCATGAAAAACAGGATTTGCAACAATTTGAATGACACTTGTATTGTCAGCATAAAGTGTAGTTGAATCTATTTGGGGAAATCCAAGTTCAGCCAAAAGACCACGAAGCCAAAGTATTTCTGAACAAGCAGCAGACATGGCACGATACTCTGATTCAGTAGAAGATTTAGAAACTCTTGCTTGCTTCTTACTTTTCCAAGAGATCAATGAAGAACCAAGAAACATGCACCAACCAGTAACAGATCGACGAGTATCAGGACACCCCGCCCAATCAGCATCACTATAAGCACTCAACTGAAGAGAAATTCCAACGGAAAAGAATAATTCGCGGTGAGAGGTTCCCTTTAAGTAGCGAATTATACGACGAACCGCAGCCAAGTGAAGATGACGAGGAGAATGCATGAATTGACTTACTTGTTGAACAGCAAAAGATATGTCAGGGCGAGTAATAGTCAGGTAGTTGAGGCTGCCCACAAGTTGTCGATACAATAAGGGATCAGGCAAAAGATCACCATCATCACGATGATATTTAACATTAACCTCAAGAGGAGTATCTACCGGGTTAGCCGATTCTAGACCGGCCATAGAAATCAAATCTGTAGCATACTTGTGTTGATGGAGAAAGATGCCCTTGGATGTAGAATGAACCTCAAGACCAAAAAAATAATGTAGATTACCCAGATCTTTCATGTGAAATGAGGCTTGTAACTGTTGCTTAAGTCGCTCAAAGGAAGCATGATCTGAACCAGTAATAACCATATCATTAACATACAAAAGAAGCAGAACAATACCCGTAGATGTGCTATGAATAAATAAAGATGAATCATACTGACTCTGAATAAAGGAGAATCCAAGTAGAGTGGAGCGGAATTTCTCGTACCATGTGTTGTACCCCAAAATTTGCCCTCCCATATTCTTCAAGAAATTGCCAAGCCAAGCTTCAAAGTTCCCCAAGGGTTGCACAGTGCAAAGGTCTCCTATACAGTCAAAACTAGGGTTTGTGTTCTGATCAAAGAAATGAAGTTTTCAAAGGCCCAATCAAGTCTCACATGCCTACAAATGTGGTCAAGCATCCTCATATCAAGTTTCAAGGCATTCAGCTCAAAATTGCACAGTCAAAACCCTAAATTGCACTACAGTCAACTGTAGGGGCAAAATGGTCATTTGGCAGTCAAAAGTTCAAATTTTTGGTCAAGATATCATTTTGAAGCCACAAACATCATTTGATCAATGCTTGATCATGATTCTCAAAATTTGGCTCAGAGATCATCAAAGATGCAAAAGTTTCCTTATTTGGACAGTTGAAAAAGTCAACTGAAATTGACCAGGGCATAACTTTCACATGGATTATCAGAAAAATTCCATCCAAAGCTCATTTTGAAGAGAAAGACATTTCCTACAACTCATATTCATACTTCAAGTCCAAGAAATGCTCTCACAAAAAGTTATCAATTTCAACATTATAGGTCATTTTCAAAAGTCAACAAAAAGGGACTTTAAGTAAAAGGCCATAACTTGAGATTGGTAAATCAAAATGACATGGGACCAAAGGCATTGGTTAGAGGACTCAAAAAACTTTCCAAAATGTCCAAGAACATGAGCAAATCTTAAAAATTGAGCAAGTTATGCATTGGAGAAGTTGGGAAAGTTTTGTGAAATGGCCAAAATCATTTATCCTTGAAATCTCATTTTTGACAAAAGGGGCCCACTTTTTCCACTTGAATTGACTTGGTCATGCTTCCCACGTGTCCCACCTTTTATTTCAGATTTTTTTATTAATTTTTTCATTTTTATTGATTTTTATTGGATTTAATTAATTTTAAATCTTTTAAAATCAAAAGAAATTCAAAAATTGATTTAAGAGGGAATATTTGGCCTTAACTAGCCTTGAAACATCATTATGGGCCTACCAAAATTCGTGCAAGGGAGTAAACAAGGCAAAAATTCAAAAATGGACTCAAAATGGAAAGTTGATAATGGTGGTTTATGTGAAAATCCAAATCATCATTGCAAGGCTTAAAAGCTCCTTAATGTTACTGATTCTCATCCAAGCCTATATATACAAGCCTTGCAAGCCTCATTCACAACCTAGAAAAAGTGCACAAACAGCCAGAGAAAAGTTCAAAATTTGTCAAAAAAAAAGTGTGAGATCCTAAGGTCCATTATCAAGCACTGTAAGTATTCTCAGGTCCCCCCACTTTATTCAATATTTTTCTCTTTAACATAATTCTGTGCAGTGCTTCATCAAAGGACCACCATACAACTCCATCCCTTGGCACGCCACATGTCACCAAGGGTCAATCCAAAGGCTATCACGTGAGTTCCACCATACGCATTGGTCAACACCCCCCTTTGTTTGCTCTCTTTCACTCTTTTTTTTATTTTTCTATTTTTATTTGTTTAATTTAGTTTTAATTTAATTCTTTAAATTAATATTTTCATAATATAAAAAACCAAAAAATCAGAAAATCATAAAAATCAAAATGTGTTTTATTTTAATTTAATTCATCAATGACCTTTTTTTTGTAAATAAATTCAATAAGTAATTTAGTTTTAATTTTAGGTTGTTAATTTTAATGTTTTTTTAAATAACTAAAAAATATAAAAAAATAGACCTTTAGCACTTTTTTATCTTCTTTTTTTTAAAATTAAATATTTTTATTATAAGTATCATTAACCATTAATTTTGTAAATAAATTTTATAATCAATTTAGTTTTAATTCTAGGTTTTAACTTTAATGCATTTTCTTTAATAAATTAAAAAATAATTAGAACTAGAATTATTTGACTTTTAATTCCAATTTAATGTTCTTTAATGTCATAAAAAACAAAAACATAAAAAATAAGTCATTTCTTTTATCTAACTTAATTATTTCAATAATCTTATTTTAATTCCTTTAAAGGGTCCAACGCCCTCGCATTTGATTATTTTCTTTTTCGCGCGTTTTATTTGTTTCTTTGTTGTAAATATAATGTACTTGCTCCAAAGCCCTGTAATGGTTAATTAGACATTTATTTTCTGCACTTTATTTTTAAATCGGGTCTGGATTAATTTGGCGTTGTAGACCCGCGCCCTTGTAATAGCGTAGGACCTTTATCCTTTCCGCACTTTAAATTTTCACACTTTTAACTGTTAAACAATAACATGAAAGAATGAATGCCCAAAAATAAAATCAAAGCGTAGATCACCAATGCATGACAAGACAAACAATAAACTGAAAATAACACACAATTCACACACCACCCCTAGGGTACGCCTCACTGTTGCCTTACCTCGAAAGGTGGTCATCAAGTACAGGACGTCTTAGTAAGTCCTTATGTTCCATTGATCTAGTTGCCTTGAATAAGTTGCCTCAGAACGGTTGCCTCGGAATAAAAAGATCAATGGCATAAGGGTAGCTTCTAAGGTACCTTATCATTGCTCTGGTGATCACCCTGTTGCCTTGCCCCTCGAAACGTGGTTGTTGAGTACAAGACGCCTTAGTGAGTCCTTATGTTCCATTGATCTAATTGCCTCAAAACGGTTGCCTCGAAACAAGTTGCCTCGGAATAAAAAGATCAATGGCATAAGGGTAGCTTCTAAGGTATCTTACTATTGCTCGGTGACCACACTGTCCCTAACCCTCGAATTGACCCGAACACCTCCAACGGTGGTGCTACCTATCTCTCAATGGTGGGACGGCACTACCTAAAGGACAATTACACAGCTTAATTCCTTAGGGTAGGTAGATGACTCATGGATACTTGCTCTTTTCAAAAACAAACAAAATACTTTTCACACCTACACTTTCTAAAAGTTTTCAAACAAATTTTTCATACACTCTTGAGGACAGATACAAGAGTTACTTAGAAATTTTTCAAACGAAACTTTTTCAAAACCCACTCACAATTGAAAAGCAAACATTTTGAAAACACAATGAGCAAGTATCTAAGAGCCCATGGATAACCATGGATAGAAAGGGTGCTAACACCTTCCCTTTCTATAATCTACCTCCCGAACCGAGAGCAGTCTCTTTAAAGGAATTTTTCTGTGCTTTTGTC